ATTTGCTCAAGGTCACACAGCTAGTGTCTGAGCCAGATTTGAACTTAGGAAGATGAGTCTTCCTGATTCCAGGCCTGGCACTCTATCCACTGAGCCACCTAGCTGCTCAAGCAACAAAGAGCAGCCCACAAGAATATCTTATAGGAGCCACAAGATACTCCAGAGAGAGAAGAATCCTCATATTTGGAGATGTTAGGGCCTGGGAATTTCTTTGGGAAATTCTAAATCTTTGGGAAAGGGTTGTGTTCATCAGAGGTCTTTCTTTTGTTATCTGAGAGTACTGTATTAGACTTTTTGCATTGTTTCTCCAATTCTTTCAATAAAGCTTAATTTTATAATCTTCTTTCTTATTACGAGCCATGTGCTTACAAGGGGAGTTGGTTTCAGTGGATTTTATGGAAGGAGTTAGTGATATTTTTCCAGATTTTGTGAGTGGGAATGTATGAGCCAAATAATGTGAGACAATCCCCCCAATGGTACCCTGGCTTTCCCTGGGGCTATAGACTCTGATATACATGTTATACCTATAAAATGTGGGGAGGGGAAATCAGATGATTTCTAATATCCCTTCCTGATCTAATTTCTACCAATCTATGACATAAGTCAAGTCATTTACTTTTCTTGGCTTAGCTCTACTTTCTCACCTAGCAATCACATACAGTGGAATTGCAAATTCGTCTTGTAAGGTTAGAAGTCCATGACTGAATTCTAAAACTCAAAACAAAATAGCATAATATAATTTTGTTTGATCTCATTAGCTATTCAACTACAGTCTCTTTGTTGTTCAACTTATTTTAACAGTCTTGAAGGTTTTCTAAAAATACAAAACTGATGTTGGAGGAAATGAATAGTGCTACAGGGAATCCAAGAAACAGCGTAGCATGGTACATAGGCCAGCCTCAGAATCATGGAAATTTTGATTAAGTGTTACCTCTAAAACACATTGGCTATGTTGTACAAGTTATTTCACCTCTCGACACCCCCAAACCATTCTCTAAAATTATGACTTGCAAAGCCAGTGCATTGGTAAAAAGGACTTTCCTCACTCAGAGTTCCCTACACTAATAAAACATGGAATTGGATCAAAATAAAAAGAAAAGTAGGGAGAGGGGAGGATAGAGAAGGAATAAATAGTCCAGAGATGCCAAAAGTTAAAAAAAAAAACCTTTCCATTACACAAATGTAACCCTGACCTAATGAGTGAATCTAGATTATCAAATACATTATTACAGGGCTTTTTTCTTTTTATCCCATCTAACCATGCTAAGCAGTAAATATTACTGTAGAGCTTATGGGCAGACAATAAAAGGCACAAATAGCTCCAAGAATTGTTGTGTCCTCCAATAGAAATGATAAATAATGCCAGTTAAAGTTGTGGGAACTCAAATAATATCTCTGAGTTTCTCTACTTGAAAATCATCTAGTCCCAAGGAGTTGGTCTTAATGGCTGACCTTCAAAAAGGAAATAGCTAAAACCTGTGATGGGACCCATGTTGGTAAAAAAAAATTAATCATTACTTTGGCCAACATCACAAATGGGCAAAATAATTATGTCATTGTCATGCCAGATCATGGGCAATATGTCCAAATAGCTTACAATGTTAATGACCAACTATTGGACAACATGCTTTACCAAATTTAGACAGGATCTGTGATATCATCTACATGAGGAACTTTTAACATGGGAACTTTTTCCATTAAAATAGATTTTTGCCCATCTATGACAGTAGCTAAGTCCCTAGGGAGTTTCTTAAAGTGCATGAAGGTTAAATGACTTTTCCAGGGGGACATAACTAATAAGTGTCAGGTACAGGATTTGAACCTAGGTTTTCCTAACTCTAAGCCATTCTATACACTATGCTGTGGTCTTCTACACAGTATCCAATGAAGTACTAAATCATAACATTATTTTAGAATCTTAGGGTTTTTTATGTATGGAGTATTTTTGCCCATATTCCTTTTGCTGGACACCAATGGGACCCCATGTGTAGAAAAAAATCTAGTTGTTCAAAGCATTACTTAGGGAATCATAATCCTGAATGTGCCCCTTGATTTCTACATGCAACAAACTCTCTAACATTCTTTAAAATTAATGTTATACCTTAACTGAAACTGACTAAAGTGTGTTTCCCATGTCTTTATTAATTGAATAGCTCTAACTGCAGAACACAATATTTTTATTGTTCTGCAATGTTTCTTTGGTAATATGTTCTGTTTGTTTCTAAGAATGAGTAGTGGATATGACTGACTTTCTCAGCTTGAGGAATGAAGGAGCTAGAGTTGTATGATAAATAGAATCATTACATTCAACCAGAGTCAACTTTATTTTAAATGAATGCTTCTTTTGAAAACAGAGAAGAGAAACTTGAGGAATTAGAAAATGAAAAGCCATATCACCTTGCAATCCACTCTCATGTAATCACAACATCAGACAAATGGAGGTGGGCACCTGATTTGATTTTTGTCTTTTTTTTTTCACATCTAAAGGGTTAGGCACCCACTGATGGTAGGCCAAACAGATGGCTATTTTTTAAGAATGCATGGGAAGCTCATACAAAAGTTGCAATGCCAAATTAAGGTAGTATGTTATGTTCTGTTTGTAATGGGCTTATTAGAGGAAAAGCTTGTGCATCAATCATTCCAGCTCTAAAAATGAAATTTCATTATAAGACAGATGTTTTACCTTTACTGAAGTTTGATGTGTAAATAAATAACAAGGAAGGGACTTAGGGAAAATGTAAGTGTAAATATTACAATCTGGCTAAATACCACCAAGAGTTATGCAAGGTTATTATAGGGCTCACAACTTTGCTGAAATAATGGAGAAATCAAATATAATACATCGGGAACATTCTACATTCTCCTAACTCACTGTTCAATAATCTTTTCCCTTTGCAATGATACTTCTTTGTCTGTCACACATTTTAAAGTCAAAATATAGTTTGCTTTGTGGTAGTCTTCATTTTTCCCAGACCAGGAGTTATCCTGGTGTTTGCCTGTCTGATCTCCCCACTGCCCCAGTTTTCAGTTCCTCTACATGGCCCTGTGTTTCTGTGATGGAACAGAACAAATTTTTGTCATGCCCATTTTAGCAGCCAATCCTATTTACAGCTAGAAAGAGGGAGCCCTAAAGTGCCCACTAGTTTTACTAACTGGCTGCTTTTAACATTATTCTGATAACCCAGGCATTTAACTAGCCTTTACTTTGCTTCAACTGTACATCTGAATTCATTGTTACATAACAAGATGTAGACTTCTAAGGGACTTCTGAGTTCATATAGTCCATCTCTCATTTTACGGATGAAGAAGCTGAGTCATGGAAAGGTTAAATGACTTTCTTGGAATCAGAGAAATAGTAAGAGGCAGAACTCAAACTCAGGCCCAAATCCTCTGTTTTCAAATCCAATGCTATTTCCCTTGTAGCACAGTCATGTGTGGGTCCTGAGTGAGGAAGGGTTGGGTGAGATTTGTTTCCTTAAAATAAGCAGGGAGAAATAAGGATATCACCAGGACAGTTTGATTTGAGGAGGGCTATGAAGGAAGCACAAATGAACAAGTAAGAATAAAAAGACAAGTCGTTTGGAGTTTTGTAGGTCAACCTCATGTATAATTTCTTTGCTCTCCTCTTGACACCAAAATTCTGTTTTGTTGTGAGGATGTCTTAATGTATAAATAAGCATAGGTGAGCATATAAATAGGCATGCTTGCACATTCATAAACAAATATGCAAACACACACACACACACTTCTATGGAGAGAATAACTTGAAAATGTTCCTTTTATTGGGAACCTTTATTTTTCCCCTGTTGGAGCTCTTTATCTCCCCTGCTGACCATGAGTAGTCCATTTAAAGTGTATAGAAGAAGGTCATTTCATCATCAACTCAGTCATTTGGTGGTAAAATAGAAAGAACCCTAGTTCTGGAATCATGGGATCTGGGTTTAAATCATTTCTCCAGCATTGAATTCAGAGCTGGAAGAGACTTTTGAGGACATTGATTCCAAGTATATCATTTTGCAGACAAATAAGACACTGAGATGTTAAATGACTTGCCCAGGATCACATAGCCTCTAAGCATCTGAGGTGGGATGTCAACTGAAGTTTCCTTCCTGACTTCATGCCCAGAGTCCTATACACTACACAACATTGCCTCTCCTGCTCTCTTGTGTGACTTTGGGTAAGTTATTGGGCTTCCATTTTCCTCATCTATTAAATAAGGGAGGTGAACTAAATGATCTTTTGAGGTCCTTACAGATCTAGGTCTAAGATCCTATAATACTTTCATGTTATTAAGTCAACCACACAAAAACTGTTTCATTTTAACAGAGTTTTCTCTCTGGCTCCACTTTGCATTTGCTGCCCTTCCTGGTTTCAACTCACAGAAAAAAAGATGCCCTTCCCAGGACAAGCTCATCAGTTCTAAACTCACTACCATGCTGTCAATTCAAGCCTTGATTGACTCCACCTCCCTCAGCCTCCTCTCTCCTCTGATTGGAGGGCTGAAGGGTGGAGTATCAAACTCTTCCCAATGCTTTCCTTTATAGAGGACAGAAACTGAACTCTCAGATCATTCTACCTTGCATCTGCTGCCTTGTCTGGTTTCAAATCCAAGAACAAGGTGCCCCTGTGCCAGGTTCCCCTTGGTGCCTTCCTTACCCAACCCCCAGCCCTGAGCCCCCCATTTCTCTGCCCTTGTTTTTCTGCCTCCTTTTGTGTGTTATTTCCCCCTTTAAATTATAAGCTCATTGAAGGCAGAGATTATCTTTCTTTTTATTTGAATCACCAGTGCTTACCACAGTGCCTGGTATATTATGGGTGCTTAAGAAATATTTATTGGATTGGATTGATATCTGGCAGTCAAAAGACCTTTTAAAGATGCAGCTCAAGAAGCTAGGTCATAATCATGCTTTATGAAGTGACAGTGGTGGTTCACTTCTATAAACATATCAAAATGAGCCACATTTTCAATTCTGCTTGCAATATATCTTACCCATACATACCTCTTTAAAACCAAGGGCTTCATTTTCAGGAATTGTTACTATTGGATGACTTGGCTTCACAGGAAAAATGGTCAGGATGTTGTAGAATATGGAAAGAAAAAAGATTTCAATGAAACATTAATAAACAGTTAATGCTTGGGAAATGTTTTCATTATTCACAACATACTTCATCCAACTGACCTACTAGTTTTGAATTGACATTCCCAAATGAGCATTCAATTTAACATGCAAACAACATCTATGATAATAATTTCCTTACAGGCAATAACTGTTTTACTCATCTCTGTAATAAATCATTTTTAGATTAGATTAGATTGAGTTCCATATGTGCCTTAGTATGTTTTTTTCACATAATATGTCTTCGGAAAATATTTTTGAAGATTGAATGAATGAATAAATAAACAAGTTTTTTTTTCAGAATAAACTGCCAAAATTCACAGAATTCAAAAAATGAATAGCAATCAAGGAAATATCATGTTTCAACCCACTCACATGGTGTAATTGCTAAGCAGTTACTAAAGTGAAAGGAAATAGAGAAAAATCAGCATCCCAACAGATAGTTCAAAAATTAAATATTTTCCATGAGATAAACAAAAAGCAATGCATTATTGGACAAAATAAGTGAGATTCAATTGCAGTGACTATAAACTTTGAATTCTTCCTATAGCTTCTTTTTGAGGACCAGTCCAGTCTATTAAGAGGCTTAGCAAAAAAAGGGATGAATTTCTTTTTTGGGGGGGGAGCATTCATGAACCAGAAAAACACCCAAACCAACCTTCAGTCCTTTTGACCTTCAGTCAAAAAGGTTGCAAACAACCTTTTTGCTTTAGTAATAACAGTAAAGGAAAAAGGGAAAGAGGGTGCTAAGTAAAGCACAGTTCTTTTACTATCTATAAATGTTTTGTCCAACTGCTAGTCCTTTATGGTATATTTATTATCGAAAAGTTGACATACTATCGGAGAAAATGAAACACATGTGCATTGACCTTCTTGCTACAAATTAATCTAGAATACTTAAATTGAAACTCTATGATAGGATATCTTATGAATTCTCTTCAGAGAAATAAAGAACAGTTGATTTCCTCTTACATAGCTTGCAACAAGAAACATTATTTTGCAGGGTGATAAGTTATCTTGTCTTGCAATACTCATAATAATTATAAAGAAACAGACCACTGGAAACAAAAAACATACAGAGTCAATGGCAACACTATCTTACTAGTCACTCAGATTTGACCCCTCAGCACTGTTTGAATAATCTCGCTCCTTTACCTCCTCACATCATGTTCAATCATATGTCAAATTTTGTCCATTCTATCCCCATGACATCTCTGTCTTATATTTTCTTCTCTTTGGCATACTTCTTCCATCCTTGTTTTAAACATTCATCACATTTTACCTAAACTATTATAATAGCTTTTTTTTTTTTTACTTTCTAGATGTAACTTTATTTTTCAATTAACAAAAATCTTTTTTTCTCTTCCTCTCAACCCCCACTGAGAATAAAAGGAAAATAAAGACTTTGCAATAAATATATATAGTCAAGTAAAACAAATTCCTGTATTGGCCATTTCCAAAAATTAGTCGTCATTCTGTGCACTATCATTTGTGCTTTGGGATTATAGTAGGTAGGTCAATACAATATTTAAAGAGTTTTTATGTCCTTCAAAGTTGTTTCTCTTTATAATGTGGTAACTATTGTATAAATTATTCTCCTGTATCTACTCATTTCACTCTGTATCAGTTCATACGAATCTTCCTAGGTTTCTCTGAAACCAGCTTTTTCTTCATTTTTTGCAGCTCAATAGTTTCCATTACATTCATATACCATGAATGGTTCAGCAAGTTCCCAATTGATGGGTACCGCCTCATTTCTAATTCTTTGCTTCCCTAAAAAAAGTTATACATACACAAATACACACACACACATACACACACACATATGTGTGTGTGTGCACATGTATATGTATATGTACATATATATATTTGCAGATGAATCATTTTTCTCTTTTTTGATGTCTTTATGTACACCATTTATCGATTTTTGTGCATAGTTATAAATTATTTTCCAAAATGACTAGACCAATTTACAGTTTTACCAATGGTATACTAGTATGAATAACCCCTCCAATATGTGAAATGGTCCTGTTTCATCAATTTTATCAATTTGATAGGTACAGAGTAGAACATCAAAGTTACTTTAATTTGATTATCCCTAATTATTGGTGATTTGTAGCATTTATTTATATTCTATTCATAACTTAGATCTTTTCCTTAGAAAACTGCCTGTTCATGTTCTTTGACCATTTTTAAATTGAGGAATGACTCCTATTCTCATAAATTTGAATCATTTCCTTATATATCTTGGAAATAAGAATCTTACCAGAAAGATTCACTGCAAATATTTTCTCTAATTACTTGCATTGATTTTGTTTCTGTAAAAATACATTTTTATAATAAATATAATGTCTATCTTATCTTATGTGATCCCCTCTATCTTTTATGTGGTCATGAACTCTTCCCCTATCCATAGATCCAGAAGACAATTTCTTCCTTGCCCCTCTAATTTGTTTCTGATGTCATCATTTGTCCCTAAGACATAGATCCATTTGGAGCTTATCTTGGTATATATGGTGTGAGTTTGTAGCTAATTTCTGCCAGACTTATTCCCAGTTTTCCCAGAAGTTTTTGTCAATTAGTAAGTTATTTTCCTAGTAGCTGGGGTCTTTGGCATTGTCAAGCAATAGGCCACTATGTTCATTACCTTTTATACATTCTTTTCCATTGATCAGCTTTTCTATTTCTTAAACAGTACTAAATCATTTTAGTAATTACTGCTTTCAAGCCTATTTTAATAACTGCTGCTGCTCAGCCTCCTTCCTTTTCACTTTTTTTTGTTTTTTGATATTCTTGAGCTATTGCTCCTGCAGATGAATTTTGTTATTTTTTTCTAGCTCTACAAAGTAGTCCTTTGGTATTGGGATTGGTATGGCATGCAATAGGTAAATAAATAATGTATGTAGTATTTTCATTTTTGTTATATTGGCTGTGCCTACACATTAGAAATTCATATTTCTCCAATTATTTAAGTCACAATAGTCTCTTAATTGGTCTTGCTGCTTACAGTCTCTGACCTCTCATTCATTCTTTTCACAACTGCCAAAATAATTTTACTTAAGTACATGTCTGACCTTTTTATTCTCCTATTAGAAACCTTTCAGTGGTTCTTCATTGTCTCTAAGATAAAATACAATCTTCTTAGTCTTACATTTAAGCTCCTTCACAATCAAACTCTAACTACCTTTGTTTACCACCATTTTTTTTTTCATTTTACTGCCCTTCACTTGATACTGAAGATCAATACTAAGAGAGGTATAAAATAGGTAGATATAGTCTCAGTTAAGCTTTTTAATGGTGCCATAGAAAACACACTGTAAAGAAATAAATAGAAGAGTTTGCACAAAATAAGCACTTAATATTTTTCTGCCCATCAATCCACCCATCCATCTATTCATTTATATAGTCTATGTTCTAACCTACCATACTATTAACTATTCCCTAAACTTCATATGATATCTCCTGCTTCCAAGCAACTATCCAGGCAATAATTTATGCTCCGAATATATTTCTTCCTAATCTATTTTTTTAGAATTGTTATTTTCCTTTGGTACTTAGATCAGGAGTCAAGTTCTCTGTATAGTCATTACTGTTCCCCTTATTTGAAAGTATCTTCTTCCTTAAATATGACTAGAGCACTTTAACTTGACTATCTCCTTTACCACTATCATAATCAAACTATATCTTATGTTTTTACCTATCTATGTTTATATATCATCTGCTCCATTAGTAGGATGCAATTTCCTTAAGGATAGAAATTATCACTTTTACCTTTGTATCTCCAGCATCTAGGATAGTGCTTTTCACATAGTAGATGCTTTACAAATGTCTGTATATGGTTATAGATTAAATTGAAAAGAGTAAAACATAATAGAAATGAAATAGAACAGAGCTACTATTTCTATGTTCTATTGAGTACAATAGAATCACATTTGTACTCCAATTTCTTCATATTTAATGTGCTATAAAATTAGTGGCAACTAGAAAAACATAATATCTGTTATACTCTCCCAGAAGTTCAGAAGAACAACTGGACTTGAACAAATATATACAAAATAAATTCATGCTGGAGGGAACAAATTTGCCAATGTGTGGGACAAGTATTTATTTCTTCCACATAAAAGAAATGTGTTTACATGAAATACAAGTTCACATAAAAAAATTTAAACAAATGAGAGTAATAACTTCTGTTATACTTTCCCAGGAAGTTTATAATTATGCCTTATTTAAACTTTGTGAGACTGCTGAATAGGCATGTTTTACATCTCGTTTCTTCTCTCCACTGTCCTCATTTCAGTAGAAGTTTTCTGACAAACAAGTCAGGACTTAGGTTCATCCTTATGTTGCTGGTCATTTGTTCCAAGAATACTAAGGTAGTTGCCAAGAACTTTTGTCCTTGTTTCCAGTCAGCTCCATCCAAAGGACTCATGATCTCCAAACCATTTGAAGTCACAAGGTCACCTCCATGTCTTGACCTAGAGTGCTTGGGACTGATGCTTGTTTACCTATGTAGGTTTCTCTTGACTTTTGTGTTTTTATTTAAAGAATTACTTTTCAGCTCTGGTCTTTTTTATCAGCAATGTTCAAAAGTCTTCTACTTCATTAAAGGTTCATCCCCGCCCCCCCCCAATAGGAATGTACTCAGCTTTGCAAAGTAAGTTATTCTTGGTGTTAAACCTACATCTTTGGTCTTTTGAAATATTATATTTTTAGATCCTCTCTCATTTTTAATGGAAACTGCCAAGTCACATTTCATTCTGAATGTAATTACTTACAATGTAAACTGCTCATTTCTAAGAATTTGTAAGGCTTTTTCTTTGATTTGGGTGTTTGGGATTTTGGCTTTGAGGCTTTTCCTTCTTGGGATTCCTTTCAAGAAATCATCAGGAAGCACAGTCAAGATGGCAGACAAAAGGCAGCTATTCACCTGAGCATTC